GGGGAAGGGGGGAGGGAGGAGGGCGAAAGGGATAATTCAGCACATGTGTGTGGTGATGGGTTGTAATTAGTATTTGGGTGGTGAACACGATGTAATCTATGCAGAAATAGAAGTATAATGATGTACACCTGAAATTTATACAATGCTATAAACCAATGTTACTGCAATAAACAAAAAATTAAAAACAAAAAAACATTTGGACATTAAACAGCACACTTCTGAATAACCACTGATTAAAAAGTAATATATATACTACTTACATGAAATGGACAAATGCCTAGAAAGAGACAAATAACAAAACAAATAACAAAAAGAGACAAATAATAAAAACTTTAATAGATATATAACAAGTGAATAGATATAGATATATAACAAGTAAAGAAATTGAATTAGTAATTAAAAGTCATCTCACAAAGAAAAGCCTAGGCCCAGGTGGCTTCACTCTATGAAGCAAGTATTACCAGGATACCAAAGCCAGACAAAGCACGGAAAAAGATTTCTCTTCCGTGAAAATAGGTGAAAAATCATTAACAACATACTAGCAAAATAAATGCTGCATAACATAAAAAACATGTATTTTTTATATGCACTTTTGTTGAAAATCAATTGACCATACATGTATTTATTTCTCAACTCTCAATTCTATTGCACTGAATTATGTATCTACCATCATGTCACTACAATACCTACATTATTACCGTGGCTAACAACTAAGGTGGACTTATCCCAAGAATACCAGGTTGGTTTATCATGTGAAAATAAATTAATATAATATTCCAAATTAATACAGTAGAGGATAAAACCCATGTGTTATTCTCAATAGATACAGAAGTATGTGACCACATCTAATACCCATTCATGATTAAAACTCTCAAAAAACTAGGAATAGTAGGAGACAAACTGACAAAGGGCATTGACAAAAAACCAAAACTAATATCACACTTGATGGTAAAATTCTGAATGTTTTTCTCCTAGAAGTGAGAACAAGACAAGGATGCCTGCTTTCACCCCTTGTATCCATTACTACACTAGTAGTTCTAACCAGTTCAATCGGTAACAAACATTAAATAAATAAATAAATAAGTAAATAAAAATTAAAGGCATCCAGATGAGAAATGCAGAGTACAACTGTCCTTATTCATAGACAACATGATCTTGTATATAGAAAAATCCTAAAAAATACATGCAAAAAACCCGTATTAAAAATAACAAACAAATGGGGCCGGCCCAGTGGCGCAAGTGGTTGAGTGTGCGCGCTCCGCTTCAGCGGCCCAGGGTTTGTGGGTTCGGGTCCTGGGCGTGCACCAATGCACCACTTGTGACACCATGCTGTGGCGGCGTCCCATATATAAAGTAGAGGAAGATGGGCACAGAAGTTAGCTCAGGGCCAATCTTCCTCGGCAAAAAAGAGGTGGATCAGCATCAGATGTTGGCTGATCTTCCTCACACGCACACAAAATAATAATAATAAGTTTAGCAAGATTGCAGGGTACAATATCAATATATTAAAGTAAGTTGTATATCTCTATACTGGCAATGATCCAGTCAAAAAGGAAACTTAAGAAGAAATTCCACACACAATAGCATTGAAAAGAAAAAATAATACTTAAGAAGAAATTAAAACTAATGCAAGACTTATATACTGAAAACTATAAAACATTTCTGAGACAAATTTAAAGAGATATAAATAAATGGAGAGACATTCCAAGCCCATGGATTGGAAGATTCAGTATGGTTGTCATGGCAATTCTCCCCAAATGGATAAAGATTCAATGAAATCACTATCAAAAGTACCCCAGGAATTTTATAAATATCAAGAAGCTGATTCTAACACTTACATTAAAAGGTAAAGAATCCTAGGGCTGGCCCCATGGCCTAGTGGTTAAGTTCGGTGCACTCCACTTTCACGACTCAGGTTCATGGGCACGGACATACACCACTCATCAGCATGGTGTGGCAGAGATCCACATATAAAACAGAGGAAGACTGGTACGGATGTTACCTTAGGGCTAACCTTCCTCAAGTGAAAAAAGAGGAAGATTGGCGACAGACGTTGACGTTAGCTCAGGGTGAATCTTCCTCAGCAAAAAAAGAAATCTTCCTCACAAAAAAAGGGCAAAGAACCTAGGATAGCCAAACCAATTGTAAAATAGAATTATAAAGTTGGAGCACTTATACTAACCTATTTCAAAATTTACTATAATGCCATAGTAATAAAGATAGGCATTGTAGTGAGATAATGATAGATACATAATTCAGTGCAATAGAATTGAGAGTTGCGAAATAAATACACGTATGGTCAACTGATTTTCAATAAAAATGCAAGACAATGCAATGTGGGAAAGGATGGTCTTTGCAACAAATCGTACTGGGACAACTGGATATCCATTTCCAAAAATCTGAACCTAGATCCTTACCTCACACCATACATTAAAAAATTAAATTAAAATAGATAATAAATTTAAATGTAACAGCTAAAATTATAAACTATCTCAAGAGAATGAGAAGACAAGCCACAGGCCGGAAAAAATATTTGCAAAAGACATATCTGATAAAAGACTGTTATCCAAAATATACAAAGAACTATTAAAACTCAACAATAAGAAAACACAACTCAATTAAAAAATGGGCAAAAGACCTGAATTGACACCTCACCAAAGAAGATATAGAGATAGCAAATAAGCACATGAAAAGATGTTCAACATCATATGTAATCAGGGAATAACAAATTAAAACAATGAGATACCATTACACACCTATTAAAATAGCCAAAATTCAAAACACTGACACCACCAGCAGCTGGAGAGGGTGCAGAGCAATAGGAACTCTCATTCATGGCTGGTGGGAATGCAAAATGGAGCAGCCACTTTGGAAGACAGTTTGGCAGTTTCTTACAAAACTAAACATACTCATATGATCCAACAATCACGTTCCTTGGTATTTACCAAAATGAGCTGAAAACTTATGTCCACACAGAAACATGTTCATGGATGTTTATAGCAGTTTTATCCATTCAGACAAGGGAATATTATTAGGCATTAAAAGTAAATGAGCTATCCAGCCACGAAAAGACAAGGAGGAAATATAAATGCATATTAAGTGAAAGAAACCAATCTAAAAAGGCTACATACTGTATGATTCCAACTATATGACATTCTGGAAAAGGCAACACTATAGAGACAGTAAAAAGATCAGCTGTTGCCAGGAGTTGGCGAGAGGGTAAAGATGAACAGGCAGAACAAAGAGGACTTTTAGGGCAGTGAAACTACTCTGTATGATAGTAAATGATGGATACATGTCACTGTACATTTGTCAAAACCCACAGAATGTACAACACCAAGAGTTAACCCTAATGTAAACTATGCACTTTAGGTGATAATGATGTGTCAACAGAGGTTGAATGATTGTAACAAATATACCAGTCTGGTGCAGGATGTTGACAGTGAAGAAGGTTGTGCATGTGTGGAAATAGGGGGTATTTGGGAATTCTATGTAGTTCCCACTCAGTTTTGCTGTGAACCTAAAACTGTTCTAAAAAAGAAAGTCATATCCAGGAGCCAGCCCGGTGGCGCAGTGGTTAAGTGCGTGCACTCTGCTGCGCCGGCCCAGGGTTTGCAAGTTCAGATTCCAGGCGCGCACCGATGCACCGCTTGCCAAGTCATGCTATGGCAGCGTCCCATATAAAGTACAGGAAGATGGGCACGGATGTTAGCCCAGGGCCAATCTTCCTCAGCAAAAAGAGGAGGATTGGCAACGGCTGTTAGCTCAGGGCTAGTCTTCCTCACAAAATAAATAAATAAGTAGTCATATCCATATCTATATCTATCTATCTATCTATCTAACACACACACATATACACACACATTATTGTGTAGAAAACACAGAAGACATTTCTCATGACTTTGGGTTAAGCAAAGAATTCTTAGATGTGTCACCAAACCAGTGAGCTATAAAAGAAGAAAACTGATAAATTGAATTGGTATTAAATTTTGCACATCAAAAGACATTCTAAAGCAAAAAGAAAAGGTAAACTATAGATAGGAAGAAAATATTTGCAAATCATATATCTGATAAAAGACTTGTATCCGGACCATATAAAGAATTCTAAAAATCAACAATAAGAAAACACAACAGAAAACTGCAAAAGACTTGAACAGAGACTTCACCAAGGAAGACATATGGATGGTAAACAAGCACATGAAAAGATGCTCAACATCATTAGCCACCATTAGGTAAATACAAACTAAAACCACAAGATACTGCTCTACGCCTATTAGAATGCTTAAAATTAAAAAGAATGGTGATACCAAGTGCTGGCAAAGATGTGGCAACATGAACAACCATATATTTCTGGTGGAAATACAAAGTACAATCACTATGGAAAACAGTTTAGCAATTTCTTAAAAAGTGAAACATACACCCACTATATGATCTAGCCATTCACCTCCTAGGGATTTACCCAAGAAAAAGGAAAATATATGCAAATATAGATTTGAACATGAGCATTCATAGAAGCTTTATCTGTAATAGCTACAAATTGGAAACAACACAAATGCCCCTCAACAGGTGAATTAGTAAACCCTACAGAATAAATTGATATCCCTACAACGGAATACAAAGCAACAAAAAGGAACTATGGAGACACACAAGGATGAATCTCAAAATATTAATGCTGAGGCAAACAAATCAGAATAAAAACAAGTACATACTGTATGATTTCATTTAAATAAAACTTTAAAAAATAAAAACTAACCTATAGTAATGAAAAATAGATCGGTGGTTGCTTGGGGAGGGGTGGGGAAACATAAGAGGGATAGATTAAAAAGGGGCACAAAGAAACTTCCGGAGGTGATGGGTGTGTTCACTATCTTCATTGTGATAGTTTCATGAGTATATATGTCAAACTTACCAATCTGTACGATTTAAATATGGGCAGGTTACTGTATGTCAATTTTGCCCGAAGTCATTTGAAAAAAAAAGAAAAAACTTGGTGATAATTATAATATAGACAGACCTCAAAAATATTATGCTAAATGAAAAAAAGGCAGCCACAAAAAACTACATATTTAATGATTCTGTTTATATGAAATGTCCAGCAATTGCAAATTAACAGAGGCAGGAAGATGATCAGTGGTTGTGCATGGCTGGGGGTAGGAGTGGAGACTGAGGGCATGGAGAACCAAGAAAACTTTTTGGGGTGACAGAAATGTTTTAAAATTAGATTGTGCTGATGGTTGACTTTAGAAACTCAGTTGAAATCACTGAAGTGTATACTTATACTTGGTGAATTTATGGTATGTCAATTAAACCTCAGACTAACAACAAATTAAACCTCAGACTAACAACAACAAGGACTTCCTTTTCTATAGCACAAAAAAAGAGGGAACGGGGGCCAGCCGCATGGCTCAAGTGGTTAGGTGCGCGCGGCGATGGCCCGGGGTTCGCTGGTTCGGATCCCAGGTATGCACCAATGCACTGCTTGTAGAGCCATGCTGTAGCAGCCTCCCATGTAAAGTAGAGGAAGATGGGCACGATGTTAGCCCAGGGCCAGTCTTCCTCAGCAAAAAGAGGAGGACTGGCATCAGATGTTAGCTCAGTGCTGATCTTCCTCACCAAAAAAAAAAAGAGGGAATGAAAAAACACCAACTCTAATTGCAAAAAGCTGTCAAGGAAAAGTTTACCACGGAATAAACATAGCCAGAAATCTCTGAGACAAAAAAAAGAGGACACAGTAAAAGTTTAAATGAAGTGGAAGAATCTGTGCAATCAGAAAGTCAAAATGGGTTACTGAAATTATAATTGAATACTTTTGAGTATTTTATGTCAATACTACTCACAGTAATGAATACATTGGATTCCAGGCACCATGCCACTGGCTCACCAATCTGTGTTGATACTATTGCAACTATTAAAAAATGTATAAGATATCATCTCATATGCAAATATGTTGAGGATGAGAAATGAAGTTATACAATCAACTGTCCTTATGTTTATATAGATTATCCCAAATGTAAAAAAAAAAAAAAAAAAAGGTTCTCACTGTGAAACAGAATATAGGGTAAAGGAGATGCTTTTACTTGAGTTAGAACGACCCTAAAAGGAAATATCCAAAAGAAGTATAATAAATTTGGAGGCAAGATGTTTACATCTTTAATAGTAAACATATCACTAGATCACTGCCAACCACACTGAATTTTGAGGGGACAGTGAGAAAAGTGGTGATGCGGGGAGACAAAAAGTTTTTAGTAAGGTCCGTGAGGACGGACTTGAACTTGAAGGAGTGAACTGGATTTGAGTTAACTGGGGAAATGCACCCCACCAGTCTGTTTCCGGCATTCAAGGTTTGAGCCTGAACCTACCGATTTTCCAGGGGCCCTGGACCTCCTCAAACACCGACAACCTCCACCTGGCGCCTCTATGACTGAGTCCTATATTCAACGGCATATTAAACCCCAAATATGCCCAAGAAACCAACAGGGATATCCCCTAACCCAGGCTTCTCTAACACTGCCCCACTTTAAATCGCGAACCTGGAAGAGACCCCGCGTTCACTGATACAAACTTTACACCCCACTTCTCAACCACAGTCCCACAAGCCAGTGCTCCACGTGGACCTCGAACCTGACAGAGTCGGCCTCGGGGTGGATGATTTCTTCAGACTCTTAATCACCGAGTGCCAAAGGCCCCATCACTTAACGCCCAAATCCCTCAGTGACTGAAGCCAAATAAAGTCCCAACTACGGTCCTTCACACATGCTCACGTTTCACGGTCCCCACGGGCCGGGAATCCAAGCCCGGAACCCGACTCACCTGATCCCGAACCTGTCCAGACATCCCTGGCAGCGCCAAAAGGCTGAGCCCACGTCCGAAAGCACTTCCTATTCGGACGCCCTCCTTCGCGGTCCCTACGGACGCTGACCGGCTGGGACCAGGGAGTCCGGCGAGGACCTCCGAGCGCTGCCGGATTTCCGAGTTCCGGCTGCGGGCCCGCTCTATGACGTAACATGGCCACGCCCACCTCGGCGTTTCTGAAGGGAGGGGCCATAACGGCTGCGGGAAGAATCTAAGTCTTTCCTGGCCACCTCAATGCTTCTACCTGCTCGCTGCGAGGGACAGGCAACAATGCTGTGCTAACTGCGTAAGACTTCAGAGGCCGTTGCCTATTCAAGGCCAACATGGCACGTTCAGCCGGCTGGGGAACAAAGAAAGATGGCGGCGCCCTGTGTGCACTCTAGAGCGGAGACGTTACGCTGGAGCGCCATGGGCGCGGCCATCTTAGAGGAAGGCGTGTGTCCGTACGGCAGAGTGGGCTGAGACCGCCCCACGACTTGGGAAGATAAAAAAGGTTTGTAGACGCCGAGATGTCACCGGAGAGGCGGCAGTCACAGGGTTGAGAAAAGCAGTGGTCACTTAAAGTCTTAGGTTTGGGGAGAGAGCGGTTGTGTGTGGAGTGGGTAAGGCCTTTGTGGTTTAGAAGGAAGTAAGACAGCCATTGAAGGGGCGAAGCCAATGCGGCGGATTTCCATAAAAATGCTAATACTGTACCCACAGGGGAGTACATACACAGCGACCTCTAGTGGGGAAGGGGATGAAGTGAAGGAGCAAATGTCTACATATTTTTTCCAAAAATAAATGACGGGTGCATTTGAGAGTATGAAATTATGAGATAATGCAATTATACTTTGCATAGTTCTCAAAGTAAAAATAGAGCACACTTTAAAGTGTTATTTTTATGCAGGTGTTGGAGGTTTACTTGTAGAGGATTTAAGTAGACACCCCCTTTTTGGAAGGCAACCTGGATCCAATTTAAATTTTTCATTCTCTCTGACCCAGCAATTCTAACAGTTAATTCGGTAAAAAGTGTTCTTAATATTAACCACGGCGCTTTTGTAATTTAAAAAAAGGGAAAAATCTAAATGTACAATGATAGAGGAATACTTTAGTAAGTTATGGAAGATCCACTCAACAGTATATAGCAATTAAAAAGAATATACTACAATTGTCAGTATAAATAAGGAAAGATAACCATATTCTTCAGAGGACAAAAAACGTATCTGCAAGATAATATATATATTATGATCCCATTATGAGGGGGTCATAAACATTTGTCTTTTTGAAAATTGTGATTGGTTCAATAAAACGTTTAGTTTGGATTACATTAGGGTTTGTGCTAAACGGGTGGAGAATGTCAGAAGTTTTCACGTTCTCAATTTTTGCAATTCTCCATTAATACATCTTTGTATCATAAATATGTATTACTTTAGTATTATAAAAAGATGTCAATTTTAGAAAAGTTTTAGAATATTTAATGATGTACATGTTAATAATATAGTAAATATAAAATAGACTCATTTTTCTTTCATAAGAGAAATACACTTACATGCATTTGAAAATTTGGGGAGAATATACTGTTAATGCTTGATTCAGGTACAATTATGGATGATTTAAAATTTCATTTGCTTATATATGTTTTCAAATTTTGATACATTAAGAATTTGTTTTCATAATTTCTTAATAGTAAGAATATTATATTCCCTTCAGGGATTAAATTTCAGCCCCATTCACTTGGGATGTCAAGCTCTGAAAGGTAAATTCAGCATCTGGTGGGCATCAGAGAGCTCAGAGCCGCCTGGGCAGCCCATTCTGGGACACTGACTGATCAGTTTCAGGCATGAGCTGATCTGACCCCTTGCCATGACAGCATGTGTAGGTTCACAGGACAAGTAGAAAGGATCTGAGCGTCAGACTCGGGGAGCACTCATGTCTGGTTCTTTGCTACAGAATATCTGCCTCAAGTCCATCTTAATACCCCGGGGCGGGGTGGGGGGGGGAGCACTAATCCAGGATTTAGGGCAGAGATGTTCAAATTTAAATGTAGAACAGAAAGCTCATTTTATAAACCCAGATCCTGGGCCCTAGTCCCAGAAGTTCTGGCTTAGGAGGTCTGGATGTGACTCGCGAATTTATATCTTTTACAAGCTTCTCAGAGAATCCTGAGGCAGGAAGCCCCGAGAAAACACTTAGAAACAGATCTGGGGTGTTCCTGGCTTACAAATATTATGCTGGCTGGCTCCCCTCAGTACACTTAGGTCTTGATTCAAATTACATCCGCCCAGAACAGCTTTCCTTGAAAACCCTTACTAAAACATCTCCTCCAGTACAACCTTTCTACTAGGCTTGATATTTCTTCATAGCATTTATCAGAACTGACATTCTATTATGTATTTATTTTACTCAATCTCCTTCACTAGACTGTATGCTCTATAAAGGCCATGACTTTGCCTGTTTTCTTCATTGACATGTCCCCAGTGCCTGGCACAGTGTAGATGCTCAAAAAATATTTCTAAAGGAATGAACTACTCAACACGAAGTTGGGGATTGAACTCTGCCACAACACTATGTGGGAGATGTCCTTTTTTTTTTTTTTTTTTTTTTTTTTTTGTCAAAAGCAGGACTCACCTTTTGTAAACTGGATTGAATATCCTTATTATATCAAGGGAAGTAACTCTGGATAGAAAAGAAAACAGGAGCGCTATTGCTAGGAAACTAAGAATTTGTTGCCAGCAGACCTGCTAAAAGAGAACTGATAAAAGTTCTGACAAAAAGGAAATAACAGAAGGAAACGTGTAACATCAGGAATAAGAAAAAGGAATACGAAGGGTAAATATATCACCACATATAATAGGCTATTCTCCATTTGAGTTTTTTAGATTATGTTTAATGGTTGAAAGCAAAAATGATGACATTACCCAATGTGGTTCTCAATGTCCACAGAGGTGTTGAACATCATTTGCTGTTAGGGAAATGTAAGTCAAGGCCATCATTATATACTCCCACACACCTGACAGGATGGCTAGACTCAAATATGACAGTGCCAAGTGCTAGAAAGGATATGAACCAGTGAAGCATTCCTACACTGCTGGTGGGAATGTAAATTAGTACAGCCACTCTAGAAAAGTTTAGCAGTTTCTTATCAAGTTAAACACAAACTTAACATGTGACTCCTGGGTATTTAGCCCAGAGAAAGGAAAACTTACGTTCACACAAAATTGGGTACACAAATGTTTATAGCATCTTTATTCATAACAGTAAAACACTGGAAATAACCCAAATGTCTGTCATCAGTGAATGGACAAACCAACCATGGGACATCCATACCAAAGAATACCACTCAGTAACAAAAAGTAAATCTATATGCTCAACAAATTGGATAGATCTTAAGGGCCATTTGCTGAGTGAAAGAAAGCCTACCTCAAAGGTTACATACTGTATGATTCCATTTTAACAGTGTTCTTGAAATGACAAAATTTAGAGTGGTGGAGTACTCATCAGTGGTCACCATGGGTCAGGGTTGGGGGCAGAGTGTGACCATAACGGGGTAGCACGAGGATGTTTCTTCATGTTGGCACAACGATTCTGCATCCTGATTGTGGTGGGATTTACATAAATCTATATATGTGATAAAATTTCTTAGAACTCTACACCAAAAAACAAAACAGAAAAAACCTCACACAAATTAGTGCATGCAAAAACTAGTGAAATCCAAATAAGATCTATAGTTTACTTAACAGCATTGTACCAATGTCATATTATTGGTTTTGACTATGTAGTATGGTTATGTAAGAATATCACTGAAGAAGCTGAGCAAAGGTACTCAGCAACTTTGTATATTTTATAATTTCTTGTGAGTCTAAAATTATTTCAAAACAAATTTTAGAAAAATCATATTTAAGGTGCTTTTATAAACTACTTAATGCTACTTATAAACTTGGATAAATACATCCAAATATACTGAATTACATTTATGAATATACTTGTTTTTCTTTTGAAGTACATAGCAGACTGAAAGAGATGAATTTAGAGCCTAACAAATGCAAGAGCTAATCATATAATGATACGAGGTGAGCACAGAACACCCCTGCATCGTATATAACATTAAAATTTGGGGCCGGCCCCGTGGCTTAGTGGTTAAGTGTGTGCGCTCCACTACTGGCGGCCTGGGTCCGGATCCCGGGTGCGCACCAATGCACCTCTTGTTGGGCCGTGCTGAGGCGGCGTCCCACATAGAGCAACTAGAAGGATGTGCAACTATGACATACAACTATCTACTGGGGCTTTGGGGAGAAAAAAGGGAAAAAAAAAAAAGGAGGAAGATTGGCAATAAATGTTAGCACAGGGCCAGTCTTCCTCAGCAAACAAAAGAGACGGATTGGCATGGATGTTAGCTCAAGGCTGATCTTCCTCACAAAAAAAAAAAAAAATTCAATCAGTGTTGAGAATAGGCTACTTTAAAATTATGGAATCATTGAGAATTTGGTTCAAGGTATCCTGTCCCAAAATGGATATCAGGTGATATCCTGGTAATAAAAAACTCAAGTATACATCATTTTCACAAGGCTTCTTTCCTTCAGAATTCTATGCTATTTTGCTGAAGTTATGCCACATTGAGTATGTTCATACAGTTTTATTTCTGTATGAATTCATGAGAAATGATGAGACAGAATGTATCACTGAATTCCTGGCATATTGATTGCCATCTGAAAATGTTTCTCTAGCATGAATATCAGGCAACTATTGGGGTTTTATTTCTAGGCAAAGGCTTTCCCATGATCATCTACTGTGTATGAGCTCACTGGTGATGTCTTAGGATCACTGATGAGATAGGCTCTTTATTTCCATAGAAGGCTTTCCTGCTCTCTCCCTTCATAAGATTTATCCTAGTATATACTTTTCAGACATCTAATTACCTAGAAATGTTTCTTCAAGCCTTTTCTGCATTGAATGTTTCAGTTTTTCTCTACGTAAATTTTAACATACAACATGAGGTAATTGATCACTGAAGGCACTAGCACATTCTCTGCATTCAATAAATTTCACTCCTATGCAAATTCCATAATTTCCCAAGGGTGAAAAATCTAGCAACAGGCTAATCTACACTGACCATATTCAAGTAGGCTAGGAGCATACTGATGTTTAATGAGTTCACTGAACCATCATGGTTTGTCCCCTGCAAGAGTTCACTTGTATGGAATGAGTTCAGATTCTCTGCAATGGATTATGTACCTTGATTTATACATTTCTCATATGTATTGTCATATTTTTATCAAGGCTTAACAAATGAGAGAAAGGTTACCTCCAATCGCTGAATCCATAGGGTCTCTCTCTTTAGTAAGTTCTTTGATGGGTGCTGAATTCACGTTGAAGTCTTTTTCACATTGATTACATACATACCATTTGTCTCCTGGGTAAATTCCCTGCTGGGTAATGAGACCAATACTGTAGGAACAGGATTTTCCACAGTCAGTACATATAAAGGAAGTCTATCCTCTGTGAAATCTCTGGTGTTACACAAGGTGTATTTTCTTCCTGAAGGTGTAACCATATTCATTGCATGGTTAGGGTTTGTTTCCATTATGAGTTCTCTGATGTACAAGGAGATTTCTCTTTGAGGAGAAGCCTTTTCCACATTCGCTGCATATAAAAGGTTTCTCTCCTGTATGAGTTCGCTGATGAACGATTAGACGGCTTTTCACAGTGAAGCCTTTACCACATTCATTGCATGCATAAGGTTTCTCTCCAGTATGAATCTGCTGATGTAAAATGAGCTCATTTTCCATGGCAAAGCCTTTTCCACATTCACTGCATATATAGGATTTCTCTTCTGTATGAATTTGCTGATGTACGATGAGATAGCGTTTCATGGTGAAGCCTTTCCCACATTCACTGCACATAAAGGGCTTCTCTCCAGTATGAGTTCGTTGATGTACCACAAGATTGCTCTTAAAGGCAAAACCTTTCCCGCATTTCTTGCATATATAGGGTTTCTCTCCAGTGTGAGTTCGCTGATGTAACATCAGTCCACTATTCACGATGAAACCTTTCCCACATTCACTGCATCTGTAAGGTTTCTCTCCAGTATGCGTTCGCTGATGTACAACCAGCCGACTCTTCAAGGGGAAGCCTTTCCCACATTCACTGCAGATGTAGGGTTTCTCTCCAGTATGAGTTCGCTGATGTATGATGAGCATGCTCTTCACAGTGAAGCCTTTTCCACATTCACTACATACGTAGGATTTGTCTACTGTATGATTTCTCTGATGTACAATGAGATTGCTCTTCCTGGGAAAGCCTTTTCCACATTCACTGCATACATAGGGTTTCTCTCCTGTATGAGTTCGCTGATGTTCAGTCAGGCGACTCTTCATGGTGAAACCCTTCCCACATTCACTGCATATATACGGTTTCTCTCCTGTATGATTTCGCTGATGTATGATGACATAGTGCTTTGTGGTGAAGCCTTTCCCACATTCACTGCAGATGTAGGGTTTCTCTCCTGTATGAGTTCGCTGATGTATGATGAGCATGCTCTTCCCAGTGAAGCCTTTTCCACAGTCACTACACACATAGCATTTCTCTCCAGTATGATTTCGCTGGTGTACAATGAGATTACGCTTCCCTGGGAAGCCTTTTCCACATTCACTGCATACATAGGGTTTCTCTCCAGTGTGAGTTCGCTGGTGTTCAATCAGACGGCTCTTCATGGTGAAGACTTTTCCACAATCACTGCATATAAGGGATTTCTCTCTTTTATGAATTCTCTGATGTTCGTTGAGCCTGGACTTTCTGGAGAATACTTTCGCACACAGATTGCATCCGTAAGGTTTCTCTCCTGTATGAACTCTCTGATGATCAGTGAGCTGAGACTTCTTAAAGAAGGCTTTCCCACATTCACTGCATACATTAGCTTTCTGTATTTCATGAGTTCTCTGATGCTTAATGACTTGGGACTTATTGCTAATGGGTTTTGCACTTACAGGGAATTTAACTGGAGAATGAAAATCTTCATGCTTTCCAGGAAGAAATAAGATCCCATCTCCATTAAATTTAATAGAGTTCTTCATTTCATAGCTTTTGCTCTGGTTGACTAAACTTAAATTTGATTTCAAAGTTTTTATATAGAACTTGAACCTATGATTTTGCCTGACAGGAAAATGACTTTTGCTTTGAGGAACAATATTTCCAAATGCATTGTCTTTGTGGTGTTGTTCCATACCTTTCAGCATTCTTTGACTTTCCCAGCAACCCTGCAGATGATTATCAACTTTGCCAGTTTCTACGAAAGAAGAAAACAATGAATGCTTTCATAATCTTGTTTAGAATAAAAATGTTTAAAAAATTCCTTGGTGTTTTAAAAAGAATGGCACTTCAGGGGGCTGGCCCAGTGGCGCAAGCGGTTAAGTGCCCACGCTCTGCTGCGGTGGCCTGGGGTTTGCCGGTTCAGATCCCGGGTGCGCACCGACACACCGATTGGCAAGCCATGCTGTGGTGGTGTCCCATATAAAGTGGAGGAAGATGGGCGTGGTGTTAGCCCAGGGCCAGTCTTGCTCAGCAAAAAGAGGAGGATTGGCAGATGTTAGCTCAGGGCCGATCTTCCTCACAAAAAAAAAAAGAATGGCACTTCAGTGACAACCCTATGATAACAGTATAAAAGAAATGCCACGTATAAATGTTCCTTATTTCTTACACATTGGTAAAAACACAATAATATCAACAAACACAAAGTAAAAGGCAGTTGGTGTACCAATTACCTATAAGGCTACACAGTTGACAATCTAAGTAGATTTGGCTGCTTTCTAAATAGGAACTTGCAAAACGTGCAGGGACAGTAAAATACAAGCAAGTCACTGTTCACAGCAAATGACAGGGTTTGGAGGAAACCATTCGACAGAACTTGGAAAGACACTAGATCAGAGGTGGCAGAGAGAACTGATCCAACATGACGGGGCTTGCATTTGTTCACTCCAACACTATACATTGAATGGTTCCCGTGTACAAGGCACTATGCTGGTGTTTGGAATATATAAAATATGCCCTACTTTCATTGATCTTAAATCTAGTTTGGAAAAACCGAATCAAGAAGAAGGAAAGAAAAAAAAGAAGGGAGTTGGAGATTGTTAAATGTGGTTTGAAGGAGCAATGGAGATGATGGAAAGTGGAGGAAATCAGGATATATCCGCATAAAGAAAAGACAAGGTTGAATAATGGGTTCAGTGGGGAGAGTGGTTAATGAAACTAAGGAATCCAGGATTACTCCGCCAACTAGATGACTTGAGCCACTGGGTGGGTGGAAGCATCTCAAATTGAGATGAGGAATATTACTGAAACCCAGAATGTGTAGAAAAAAGTACGCATCGTGGAACATAAACTTGGAGATGATTATTACATATGGAGTACAGACATCAAGATCCAGTTGGAGGTACAAATGGAGATAAAATGTGGAAATAATCAATATATACCTAATATTCAAGAAAAGAGGACTGGGTGATATGTTGGGAGGGCATGTAGAATGAAAGATTATGAAGATATAGAACCAAGGTTTTAGACAGTCCAACATTTAGAGTTTTGGGATTCTTTAAGTCCACTTAGAGGAACCAAATTTCAGATGATAGAGATCAGGGAAATATGCATATTGAGGTATATTGAATAAATATATTTGTGACCTAGCAGGTTAGAATGTATTTGAATTAAAGTGAGCTGAGACAGACTCTTGCATCATAATCCTGTTCCTAAATTTGCCCTTCTGTAGACCACCATCACACTAACTTTGCAAAACATCAGTCATTTTTAGTGGACAACTCCTATAATCAACACACCAACCTTTAGTCTAGCTGTGTGATGTTATCTTATGTTCCATTCATAATGAAATATGGCAACGATTGTTAGTAAATTTTGCAGCTGGCCAGTGTACCCTGCATTCATCTTCAGAAGCCAATGTGCTGCTGCATGGGATATAGAAACTGTCACCTTTTTCAGTCAAATTCTGCATTCGTAGAGAAGTCACATCCAAATTTTTCCCATTTCAAGGTCCCTGATATACTGTTCCCTCACTTGCCACCAGCGGCATCTACTTTAGGAATTCTACATTTATGTCTCAGTTGGCAACAGTTAGGTTGTACAAAAGGATCAACTTCCTCCTTTAAGACCGAGGTAGTGTCAGCTTTACCTTCAGTTTTTCTTAGAGCATCTGGCTGTTCCTTATTATTGCTATACTACCACTGCCCAGGTGAAAGGTAGGACAACCTAGAGCTACAAAAATACAAAACCAAGCCACCCTCCACCATGCCACCTCAATTATTCACAAGTCAGATCCAAACAGTCATCCTGGCAGCACAAGTGGACATCACCATGAATACTCCACTTGTCTGTGTTTCCACTCCACTTCTCCTGTGACACATTCTAACACTGGCTTCCATTTGGCTGACTTCAGGCCACTCTTGAGAGTCAACCCCATGGCCTTGCTCATTTCCTGTTTCATGCCTTCTTTCCTAATTCATGGCACCATCTTCCTAATTCAAAATGTGGATATACCTCGTACATATCATGCTGTCACTCCCATTCTTACTATACAACCATAAGCTCTATTTCCTCTATATTTCTAAGTTAATCCCTTTATTGTTCATTTTCACAGTCACCTTCAGTGAAGATTTAACCTCACCCAAAGAGACGTCTGGCCCTAGCATTTGGCTACTGGGAGGTGATCTCTAGGCCCCTGGAATGTCTTGCCTGATAGGAGTGTCTTTGTTTGCCCAGGAGCTTTTGCCACCAGACAGTCTAACAGTGTGATTTATGACGGAGGCTTTGGGCCATGCTGTATCAGTTCCGACCTCTGGACCTTCGGAGGAACCAGGTAGTCTGACTTCAGGAGGGGCTAGAAACTAAAAGTCAGCCATGTGGGCAATATGTGATTGAGCCCCAATAAAAACTCTGGACACCAAAGACTCAAGTGAGTTTCCCTGCTTGGCAATACTCTGTGCGTACTGTCACACATCTTGGCTGGGAGGAGATAATGCTGACCCTGAGTCTAGAAGCACCATGTGTGAACCCTTCCTGGACTCCACATGACCCAAGAATTCCACTTCTAGGTATATACCCAAGAAAAATGAAAAGACATGTTCACAAAAAACTTATACACCAATGTTCACAGTAGCATAATTCATACAAGCCAAAAAGTGGAAACAATCCAAATGTCCATCAATAGATGAATGAGTAAATAAAATGTGGTCTCACGGCCAGCCCCATGGCATAGTGGTTAAGTTCGGCATGCTGGGGGCCGGCCCCATGGCGTAGCGGGTAAGTGCTCGCGCTCTGCTGCTGATGGCCTGGGTTCGGATCCCAGGCGCACACTGACACACCGTTTGTCAGGCCATGCTGTGGCAGCGTCCCATATAAAGTGGAGGAAGATGGGCACGGATGTTAGCCCAGGGCCAGTCTTCCTCAGCAAAAAAAGAGGATTGGCATGGATGTTAGCTCAGGGCTGATCTTCCTCTCACTCACACACACACACACACACACTAAATAAATAAATTAATTAAAAAAAAAAGTTCACCATGCTCTGCTTCAGTGGCCCAGGGTTCACGGGTTTGGATCCTGAGCACGGACCTACACCACTCATCAGCCATGCTGTGGCAGCAACCCACATACAAAATAGAGGAAGATCAGCACAGATGTTAGCTCAGGGCTAATCCTCCTCAAGCAAAAGAAGAGGAAGATCAGCAACAGATGTTAGCTTAGGGCAAATCTTCCTCACCAAAAAAATAGTAAAATAAAATAAAATAAAATAAAATGTGGTATCTCCATACAATGGAATATTATTTGGCAATAAAAAGGAATGAAGTACTGATACATGCTACAACATGGAAGAACGTCACAAACATTATGCTAAATTAAAGAAGCCAGACACAAAAGACCACATATTTTATGATTCTATTATGTGAAATGTCCAGAACAGGCAAATCTACAGAGATAGAAAGTACATGAGCGGCTGCCTAGGGCTGGGGCTTGGGAAGAAACATACTTTGTGTGTGTGTGTGAGGAGGATTAGCTCTGAGCTAACATCTGTTGCCAATCCTCCTCTATTTGCTCAGGAAGACTGGCCCTGGGATAACATCCATGCCATCTTCCTCTACTTTATAAATGGGACACCTGCCACAGCATGGCTTGGTAAGCGATGCGTAGGTCTGCACCCGGGATCTGAACCTGTGAACCCCGGGCCACCGAAGTGGAGCACATGAACATAACCACTATGCCACCGGGCCAGCCCCAGAAACATATTTTTTTAAGTGATGAAAATCTTCCAAAATCGCTTGTGGTGATGGTTACATAACTCAGTTAATATACTACAAAACACTGAATTGTTTGCTCTGAGTTGGCAAATTGTAAGGTATGTGAATTATCTCAATAAAGCTGTTAAAAAAAATAACAAGAATATAATGAGACAAACAAATGATTTATGGAAATGAATACAATGCTAAAACCTAAGATGAACCAAAGGAAAATCAGAAATATCAAATGTATGAAGGAAGTAAACTGAAGAAGAGATAAGCTATGATTTAGGCTAGAACTGATGTAGGATGTAAAACAGTCTTTTCTAGTTAAACAGTCAACAGAAAGAGCCCAGACCTTTAAGACAAGAACTCTGTAGGTAAAGAACATTCGAGATAACACCAGTGTGGACAGGATAAGAGATACAGTACTAAAGGAGAATCTAACATTAAAATAGGATGGTGGAAAGGGTTTTTTGTGGAGGGAAGATGATTCCTATTGCCTTACTCAGGAACTGGGAAATCTTAGGCCAGTAAAATATCTAGAACTAAAAGTGTATGCTCGACAGTATTAAGGAAGATATCAATTGGGAGTCTCATCCAGAGAACAGAAAGAGGTTAATTCATGACACTGAAGGAAAATTTTAAGGATTAGGAATACAGTAGAGAAAATGGAAAACAAAACCACTGAAGAACCTGAGAGTGGGGGAAAAAGAGAAACTAAGGAACCGGATTGATGAACAGTATGAGACTAGGTTACTGTGACAGCACAACACACAAGGAAGAGTTGGATGTTAGGAAGGGAAATCAGTATTTCTTTCTTTTCTTTTTTTTTTGAGGAAGATTAGCCCTGAGCTAACATCTGCCGCCAATCCTCCTCTTTTTTGCTGAGGAAGATTGGATAACATCTGTGCCCATCTTCCTCTACTTTATATGGGATGCTGCCACAGCATGGCTTGATGAGCGGTGCGTAGGTCCACACCAGGGATCCAAACCTGTGAACCCCAGGCCGCTGAAGCAGAGCACATGAACTTAACCACTACGCCACTGGGCCAGCCCCACAGTATTTCTCATTGGAGTGGGAAAGTGCAACAGTCAGAAAACAGTGATGAGTTCAGAGATCTCTCTTTAGAGTGAGGCCTGGAAGGTGGAATTGCATAGCTAGGGCAGTGGAAGTAATAGGGACAGACACTGTGACAGGTACAAAGAAGGGGTAGGTGACAGAACCCCAGGAAGGAGAAAACTAGGCACACAAACAAAAATCAAGATGTAAAATAAAATAAGCAAGGATCAGATCTCAGAAGAGAAAAAAGGGGTATATTTCCCTCCAGAGACCTACAGAAAAAGTTCTGCTGTGGGAAGAGATACCATGGAGGCACTGTCTCTGCATACTCAAACACCCTCCCAGCCTTCTCTGACTAGAATACGACCTCTTCAGCGCCCGCCCTGCTGGTTCTCTCTCACTCACCTGGACAGGTTCGGCTATGGATTTCATCTTCTATTGTCCACGGTTCTTCCCCTCGTTCCAACCTGGAGAGTGCATCTGGTTTGCTGGCTTGATACCCTGCTCATGAGAAATGAAGGAAGACTTGGACATATTGAATTGGGCTGGGATATGTCAAGATGGGAGATTATTACATTTAAGGGACTAGAAAGTTTTCACATTTGCAAAGAGGAGGCTTTTTTCTCAGGAGAGGGCACATGTGACATGGTGATATATATTTGGTCTTTGTCCATAGTACCTGGCACAGAGCTCCTAAAACCCTTGTAATTTCCTAAGTGAAAGGCAGGATAGGAGCATCTTATGTTAAAGTAGTTGGTCTAAGTTCCAGTTTCTGACACAAGAACTAACACCCTTGGACTCTCGGAGTGCTACATGTCTTCTGTGTCCTAATGAAATGACTGGTGGCTGGGCGCTCCTAGGTAGCTTCAGGATGGGGGCTGGTCACCAGAAAGATCAGGGCATGATTAGAGGGTTGGAACCTTCAGCTCTAACTTCCCTCCACCACAGGGAGGAAAGGGGCTGGAGATTGAGTTAATCACCAATGGCCAATGATTTCAGCCATCATGCCTACATAATGAAATTTCCATAAAAATCCCTACAACAACCGGGTTGGGAGAGCTCCCAAGTTGGTGAACACATCGAGGTGCTGGGAGGGTGACATGCCTGAAGCTCCATACCCCTTCCCCCACATCTTCCCCTGTGCATCTTTTCCATGTGGCTGTTCCTGAGTTTTATCCTTTATAATAAACTGGTAATGGTAAGTAAAGTGCTTTCCTGAGTTCTGTGAACCATTCTAGCAAACTATCAAACCTGAGGGGAAGTTATGGGAACACCCAATTTATAAACATGTCAGACAGAAGTGTGGGTACCATGGGCACCCAAGACTTGCAACTGGTGTCTGGAGTGAGGGCAGCCCTGTGGTACTGAGCCCTTACACCTGTGGAGTCTGACGCTAACTCTGGGTAGTTAGTGTCAGAATTGAACTGAATTGCAGGCCACCCAGTTGGTACCTGGAGAGCTGGAGAATTGGTTCTTGGTGTAAAAAAAAAAAACCCACACATTTGGTGTCAGTTGTGTTGGTAGTAAAAACAGTTCATAGCACATTATACCCTTTTATCAGGAGCCAGAGGAAGCACTGAGAATCTGCCATTCAGAGCGCTATAGTGGCTTCGAAGTGTAAGCAGCTGAGAAAGGAAAGGCCACTGACTGGGGACCCTCTGAGTGACACAGGGGAGCTGTCCTCACCCAGTGACACCAGATTGCTGTAGTTCTCCAACATCACGTGCCGGTACAGGTCCTTCTGAGCAGGGGCCAGGAGCTGCCACTCCTCCCAGGTGAAGTCCACAGCCACATCCTTGAATGACAGGGTTTCCTGTAATAATAGAGTCCTGTTTAATGTGAGTGTTTCCCTTTTATTGATTCATAAGGAACATAAAGGAAGTTGTCCTGCTCATATTAACTACGACTCTGATACCAGTTCTGATGTGTGTGTTTTTTTAACACATCACCAAGCAATTCTCTGACACCAGCTGGATGTCCTACAATTCAACTCAGTTCTGACACTATCCACCTGGAGATAGCCTCCGATCCCACAAGTTAAGTATTCAGTCCCACAAGACTGCCCTCCCATCCCCACTTCAGACACCAAATGCAAGTCCAGGTTGTCGCCTGTGCTTCCGACTAACCAGCTATACATTGGAGGTTCCAAAAACACCCTCCTTGGGTTTGATTAATTTGCTAGAGCAGCTCAGAGAACTCAGGAAAACAGTTTATTTACTGTTTACCAGATTATTATAAAAGGGTATGATAAAGAATACAGATTTCATCCAGATGGAAGAGATGCATAGGGCAAGGTATGTGGCAAGGAGTGTGCCAGTCTGCCAGCACTGCACATGTTCACCAACCCAGAAGCTCTCTAAACCCCGTACCTTTGGGATTTTATGGAGGCTTCATCACGTAGGCATGATTGATCATTAACTCTATTTCTAGCCCCTCTCCCCTCTCTGGTTAATGGGGGATAGGGCTGAAAGTTCCAAGCTTCTGATCATGGCTTGGTCTTGGCGACCAGCCCCACTCAAGGAGCCCACCACGAGTCACCTCATTAGAACAAAAGACAGTGCTATCACCCAGGAAATTCCAAGGGATTTAGGAACTCAGTGTCAGAAATCAGTGTCAAAGACCAAATATTAGAACATAGATGCTCCTAGTGTTCTAATCACTTAGGAAATTAAAAGAGTTTTAGGGGCTCTCTGCCAGGACTGGGATCAAAAACCAGAAGCTTCTCCCAGCCCCTCTATTTACAAGGGTTTTAGAAGCCCTACGTCAGGAACTGGGGGCAGAGACCAATGTATACATTTCTTATTATTTCACAAAAGGTTAACATATTAGATACACTGAAGAGATAATTAGTGAACTGGAATCTGCATTTTAAAAAATAACCAAAAAATAAAGCAGCCACACAAAGAGATGGGAAATATAAAGAAGAGTTTAATAAATATGAAGGATAGGGTGAGGTCTAACATATACCTATACATAGTTTTTGAAAGACATTATAGAAAAACAGAGAAGCAAGAGGAAGACCTCAGGAGGAGAAAATATCAGAACTGAGTCAACATCCTATAACTCAGACTTAGTAAGTCAGCAAAGCCAAACAGGAAATCTGCCTCTAGACACGTCAGATTGCAATTATGGAACACCAGTTGCATTAGTCAGATTATGAAAACAACCAGAAAGAAAAGACTCATTCCCATCAACAGAAAGACAAAACTGACTGAAATAAAAACAACAGAAGCCCTCAGAATATTGTGATAAATATATATTTGGTCTTTGTCCCTGGTTCCTGGCACACAGTTCCTAAAACCCTTAGAATCTCCACAGTGATAAGAGTGTCTTCTGTGGGCTAAGGAGATAACTGGTGGCTGGGGGCCCCTAGATAGCTTCAGGATGGGGGCCGGTCACCAGAAAGACCCCCAATCTCCAGGGAGGGAAGAGGGACTAGAGGTTGAGTTCAATCACCAATGGCCCGTGATTTAATCAATCCTGCCAATGTAATGAAGCCTCCATAAAAACCCCTAAACAATAGGTCTGGAGAGCTTCCGGGTTAGTGAACACATTGAGGTGCTGGCAGGGTGGTGCTCCTTGAGAAGACTTCCGCACCCTTTCCCCCAGCATCTCTACCATTTGGCTATTCCTGAGTTGTAGCCTTTATGATAAACCAGTAAACGTAAGTAAAGCACTTTCCAGAGTTCTGTGAGAATGTGAGCCATTTGGCAAATTACCAAACTAGACAAGGGGGCTGTGGGAACCTCCAAATTTAGAGCTGGTCACCAGAAGTACAGGTGACAACCTGGGACTTTTGACTGCCACTTAAAAGTAGGGGCAGTCTTGTGGGAGTGAACTCTTAATTTGTGGAATCTGAGGCTAACTGTAGTTTTGTCAGAATTGAGTTGAATTGTAGGACACCCAGTTGGTGTCTGGAGAGTTGAGGATTAGTAGGTGTGAGGAAAATACCCACACATTTGGTGTCAGAAGTCCTGTGAATAAAAACAGTTCAGAAGCGTGGAATATCTTCAATGTCCTGATCTTGTGGCCACGCAGCCAGGGCCCGAATGCCACCAAGGAATGAACTGAGACTTGCTTATCAACTGAACTTCCAGATCAGGGAAAAACTGATGGAATAACCTCTCCCCATGTTACTGCAGAGATTACTACAGAGAGAACACAGCAGACTTGGTAAATTCTTAACACTGCTGATCTTATCACATTCTGCATTATTTCCTATGAGATATAGATCCATTTGGAAAAACGAAAACTTAGGTTACTATCTCATGTCACACTCAAAAATACCTTTTCCTGTTTAAAGTCCCAACCATAAAACAATCTATAAAAGCAATAGAGGCAAATATGAAGTATATTCATGTTACAAGCCAAAAACTATTAAAAAAATAACAGGGCCGGCCCCGTGGCTTAGCGGTTAAGTGCGCGCGCTCCACTGCTGGCGGCCCGGGTTCGGATCCCGGGATCGCACCGACGCACCGCTTCTCCGGCCATGCTGAGGCTGCGTCCCACATACAGCAACTAGAAGGATGTGCAGATATGACAGACAACTATCTACTGGGGCGTTGGGGGAAAAATAAATAAATAAAATCTTTAAAAAAAAAAAAATAAATTTTGTGAGAGGAAAATTAAAACATCTGCTTTGGAAAAGATATCATGGACAAAGCTAAGAGAAAAGTAACAAGCTTGGAAAATATTTTTTATAAACAAAAGAAAGGATCAACATCAAGTGGATATAAATAACTCCTATTAATCATTAAGAAAAAAATAGTTTTTTTAATGTAAAAATGATAAGGATAGGTATTTTGCAGGAGCAAATCCAACTGGCCAACAAATCTACAAGAAGGATTTCAACCCTGCCTGTGATGAGGAAAATGCAAAATAAGGAAAAAGAACATTGGACCATTCAGACTGTTGAAAATTATGCAATTCGATAATGTCCTGTTATTAAGTACTGGCAAAGATTTAAGGCATGGATGATCCCACACATCATTTACTATGTAGCAGGCACTCATCTAAATGCTTTACATAGTTTAACTTATTTTTCTGCATAGGACTAGAGACAAGTGGAATTTTATATAATTAATATTCATCAATCAACTGCAGTCATTATTCCTTTAGGTGCTTTAATTATACCATCTTAGGCCAACAGGGTATGTTCTTTGGAGTATGATTCCTCTGATGCACAAAATGTCATAATAAATGTGTTCGTGTACACAGATATGTAAATAAATCCACAGAGAGTTGTCAGTAGACACCCATATACACATGCACACACAGATTCAGTGACAGCAAGAACATACTACCTGGGCCGGCCCCGTGGCTTGGTGGTTAAGTGCGTGCGCTCCGCTGCCGGCGGCCCGGGTTCGGATCCCGGGTGCGCACCGAGGCACCACTCCTCCAGCCATGCTGAGGCCGCGTCCCACATACAGCAACTAGAAGGATGTGCAGCTATGACATGCAACTATCTACTGGGGCTTTGGGGAAAAAAAAAAAAAAAAAAAAAAAAAAAAAAAAAAAAAAAAAAAAAAAAAAAGAACATACTACCAAACATTTGTTAAAGCAGTATGAGCAGATGAGCAAGAACGTTATGTAGAAGGAATTTACATTTTGCCCATGTGCACTCCATCACTGGAAATTTTTTCTTTAAAATGTATCCAGGAATAATTTGTATAGTTACAGAAAATAAAAGCAATAAAAGAAGAGCAGGTAAGAACTGGCTTTGAAAATGGGGTAAGACTCTGCAGTTCCTGAAATGACGGGAAGTTATAAAGCAAACACCCCAGAACCCAATAACTCAAGCCCTTACCAGACAAAATTTCTTGCAATTGTCTAATGCCAAATCTGTACTTTAACGCCTGTTCAGGAAGGACCACCTGAAAGCCAGGTGATCCTTCCATTTACCTAGACCATTTAGGTTTTATTCCTGGCTAAACCCAGACAGACACAAGGCTGAGTCCTCTGAGTGACTCTGCATTGGTCCCCTGAGAAATCGTGTCCACTGAGTTTGTTGGTCTATTCCCACAGGGGTCTCTGAGAAACCCTGTAATAAACAGCAGTAGGCAATCTGCTCCTGCCTTTATTAGGAGGCTACTGTTCAAAACACTGTCTATCCCATCACCTCTAGAAAGAATATAAAAATTTTTCTGAGACCCAAGTGCCATAAAATATTGACATCCCCTGAGGAACCTGTCTGCTTTCTCCTCACAGTCATTGCATATCATGTAACTTAGCATGATCCTATTGTTGTGTTGGCTGTCACAGATATTCAGTGCAAACTGACAGCTAACATAATCCAGCAGATCCTTCAGTGACACATTATGTTCCAATATTAGTCATTTACTAGAAATCATATGAGCACTATATATATATATATTTTTTTTTTCATGAGGAAGATCAGCCCTGAGCTAACATCCATGGCAATCCTTCTCTTTTTTTTTTTTTTTTTTGCTGAGGAAGACCGGCTGTGAGCTAACATCTATTGCCAATCCTCCTCCTTTTTTTTTTCCCCCCAAAGCCCCAGTAGGTAGTTGTATGTCATAGTTGCACATCCTTCTAGTTGCTGTATGTGGGACGCCACCTCAGCATGGCCAGAGAAGCGGTGTGTCGGTGCACACCTGGGATCTGAACCTGGGCCACCAGTAGCGGAGTGCGCACACTTGACCACTAAGCCATGGGGCCGGCCCCTGAGCACTATATTCTTGATCCTTCTTTGCCATGATGCTGGAGTTAGATTCAAAGTTTTGTTTTGTTTTTTTGGGGAGGAAGATTGGACCTAAGCTAACACCCGTTGCCAATCTTTCTCTTTTTGCC